CAGGGGGGTGAGGTGGAACGAAAATTCATCCAAAACTCGTTCCGTGAAACAACTCGTTCCACTCGGTTTAGGCGCACCAAATGTGGGACGGAATGCCTTGTCCCACTCTGTTCCGTCCCTTCCCACGTACCAAACGGTACCTATATAAACATGTTCCCCTCCCATTATTTTTTCAAAGGATGTGATATCCATACAAATCTTTTTACTTATCCAATATCTCTTGTTGATTTTTATTATTTAATCTTTTTTATTCATCCAATTCGATGATTGAAAATTATAAAAAAAAAAAAAAAGTAAAAATAAATATGTGGATATCTTTTTTTTTTTTCAACTACTGCTGTAATTAAAAATTTATCAGATTTAAACTTCGATACTTCGCTATTATTGTTCTTGCCGTTGCAGATCGGAGTCTGCAAATCCTCGAATTCGAAACTCACAGTATATGAAGTTCATTCATGAAATCGTAAGAGATTGATGGGGAAGCCAGCGAATCCATGGATGGGATACAGAAGAACAAATGGTCGTTGCTGGTTTTGGCACTGTTACTGCTGCAATTAAAAATTTATCAGATTTAATTAGTTTATTATTGTTCTTGCTGTTTCCACAGCCATGGTTTTCTTCATGAGAACCGAGTTAGATTTGTGCAGGCGAACACTGGAAGTCGTTTCGGCGATGGAAGTGATAGAACAGCCGTCATAGTCCACTCGCCGCTGGTCTAGCCGTCGGGATTGGCTGATGGCGAATTTGAAGCTCGGTGGATTTGTTTTTGTTTTATTTTTTGCTTTATTTCAGAGGGGAAGGAGGAGGATGGAGGAAAGAATGGGGGAAGACGGATGAGTGGGGAAGAAAGGGTGAGAAGGCGGGTTGGTAGTGGGGCCCAATATTTAATTTTCTTAATATTTTATGTTTAGTTTTAAATTTTAAATATGTTTCAAAATTAAAATAAAGTAAGTAATTAAAAAAAATAACTTTAGTTAGTTAGCGGGGCACATGTTAAGCTATAAGATGGGTGATTAGCATATTCTATAATTAAGGGAGGTGAGAAAAATACTCACTTTTTATCAAGTGCAAATATCTTCTTATTTACGCTACACAAAATATAAAGAAATTTAATATATAAAGAAGAATTGTACTGTAGAATTTCAATTTTCCAAAAAAGTATCGTGTAAGTTCACTCACGAGTTGATTTTAATATTAACTCACGTATTTTTACGTCATTCAACATGCGTTGTTTATGTCTTAAGGTTAAATAACCCCACATGTGAAAGGTGTGTTTGGAGGGGTGTGTGTAGAGCGACATCATTAGTGAATTAAATAATTAGTTGTTATGGAGAAATGAATCAATGAAGATCAGATCCGCACGAAAATATATACTATAAGCATAATTACTTTCTACCACTAGTACAATGCAATTTGTAAAAATATTTAATATATTGGAGATGGACACAAATAATTTACATAAATAACTATATGTATAAAAATTAAACATTAATTGCATTACATTTGCAAATTATTATAGGCTCTTGAAAGGGTAATGTTAAAGAGACAAAATTTATAAACTAAATGATTTTTCATAATATAAACAATCACCTTTATTAAAGTGACAATTTGCGGCTTTCGTCTTTTCCAGGCTGAGGGTATTAACCGATCTCCGACAGGATGGTTTCAAAAACATGGCTTCAAAGGTCTTCAAGCCCGTTAGCATATAGGGAAGCAAAAATCTCCATACATTGTTTATTCAAAACAACCCCAATCTCAATACTTCCATCGCCATCTTTACTGTCTGAGAAAGAGATAGCCCCAGTCCTATCATTCGAAATGAAGTCGCACTTCCTTGGCCTTCCCCATCCAAAATCAGTATCATAAACCCTAAACCGGTGTGAACCAGCAACCGAAATAAGCTTATCGGCCTGTGGTTGAATATATTCTATCCAAGCCTCCGCCCCATCCAGCAGCGGATTATCTAAACCTTCTAGGGCTTCACTAATTGCAGTTACAGCCACAACCAGCCCGTCTTTTCCAAATATGCCCTCTCTTTCTACAACTACTACACGTCCGCCTATGCAATTACCAAAATAATTTTCAGATATTTTTGGGTCCAAACGGGACCTACAATCCACAGCAATAGCCAATTGTATTTTTTCGGATTTTATTTCCTCTGCCTTGACTATGCAAACCCATGCATACGCATATGTGAGACAAAACCTGGACAAATGAATCGATTGTTGTTGTTGTTTCTTCTCTTTCACCAACTGCCTTATTGCTTCAATTTTGGTCGGTGTGAATTGGAAGCACCCTCGAACCGAGTCTGGTTGTGGAGCTTTAAATTGGAAAGGCATCAAGCTACGATTGTTGGGTCGCTCCAAATCCATATTTAGAAAGTGGTTCGAATAAATTAAGTCGATCCTGGTCGGGTCAGGGATGACGCTTCGGTCGTAAAATGGTTTGAGCTGGTCTGGTACCAAATCGGACGCGTGTTTACATATGTAAGCCCATGATTTCACAAACATGGTTGACATCTTGCCGTCTAGGGCAGCATGGTGCACGGATGTTCCAATAGAAAAGCCGTTGTTTGGGAAGAGAGTGATTTGCAATGCAAGTGCTGCGGCTTTTTCGTGACAAACTTCCAATCGGGGCACGAGAGGATGGTATTCTTTGGCTTCAATGTTAAAGCTGTTGCTTGAAACTAGGTGGTGGAAATCAGCATCGGACTCGGCTACAGTGACCGAAACGGCGTCCCTCGGAGGTAACTGAGAATTGGTTTAGGGGAGTCTTGGGGCCAAGTGATGTTTCCTGCTAAAGGTGGAAAGTGGTGGAGGGTAAGAGATAGCGAGGTTTTGAGCTTTGGAAGTATAGAATCGAAGAAGAACGAGTTTTTTGGGGAAGACACTATTTCGTAGAAGTAAAGGCGTTGGACGGATGGAAACTTTAACCAAAGTATGTCGAAGAAAGTTAGTGGAAGAGAGAACTCTTGATCTACATATTGTGGAGCAACTTTGCAAATTTCAACTAATTTCATTGATTTGTTTGCGTCTGCCATTGCTGTTGGGGGATGGATGGTGTAGAGCTTGATGGATCGTTTAATATATAATAAAAGAAATCTGTTTTTATTTTTATTAATAAAAAAATGTTTTATAATCAATAAACAGTTGCAACATTCTATGCCACGAAAAATTTTTAAATGTGACAGAAATACAGATGGTACACCATATGTTTTTATGAAAATGGTGAAAATTTTTAATTTTTAAGTTACTAGCCTTTTAACACATATAACTCACCGTTTATATAGAGATACGTGAAGCAATACCTCATGTGGCAGTTACACTGGAAAATCTCTCCTCTACCACAAGTCGCACTTAACGTCACGAGTCATGATAAAATATATATATATATATTTTTTTTTTTTTTAAAACATGGATAAAATTGGACAATGATGTATGTGGCACAACTGAAATAACACGTCCATATTTCATCTTTGCTTTTTTTTTTTTTTTTTTAATTTATTTATAGCATAGTGTCTCTAAAATAGACCCACCGATCAAAAAGTCATTTTGAAATTGAAAATCGATGATTGTAGTTTTTGAAAAATAAGTTGTAAATCCATGTTATCATTCGGTTATAATTTTGTCAAAAATTATATAATGTACGGATGTGGCACATAATTGGTCTACAAGTCTAAATAAACATTGCCCTATGAATTAAAAATATTTGAATAATGAAAGAATAAAAAATAAAAAAGAAAAAAAAGAAGAAGATGGATATTTGTTAGATCTCATATCGTCCAGGAGAGAGAGGATCCTTTATGCTTTATATGTAAATGCCCACCTCTATATATAGCACAAGACCTTTTGGGAGCTCATTGGTTTCGGATTCCATCGAAACTCCGAAGTTAAGTGAGTTCGGACGAGAGCAAAAACAGACAATATCGTGTTACGCAGACCGAGACTGGGATGTGACAATATTGATCTCTTCATCCCGTGAATAACCATTTTAAAATTAGATTTTTAAAATGAAACAAGTTCATGTTTCATTTTCTTTTGCGTTTAGTTGAAAAAAAATATTTAGTTTAAGATTGCATTGTTATTGAGGCGGTGCAATGTAACTGGGAGGTTCTCTGGAGGATTAAAACTATCTTTGAGGATACCCATAGTCTGGCTTGCTCCAACCGGGTTGTATGAAGGCAAATTTACCGGGAGGTAAACTTTGTTACGGATGTCTTAGCTCACTTTGGTTTGTCGATTGTGAATCCTCATATTTGGGATCATTGCTTGCCTTTTGCTGCGGTCAATGCCCTTACTTTCGATTGTATTGATAAGGGTTGTACTAGAGGTTTGTCTTTAATAAATTTTTTTCTTGATAAAAAAAAAACATTGCAAAATTAAAATTAATATGGAAGAAATAGCAGATCATTGAGCCACAAGTCTCACCTAATTTTAGTGAGATAGCAGATCATTGAGCTAGAAGTCTCACCTAATTTTGTATGAGTGTCGGTGAGTCATGATGTAATAATATAACTGATTAATAGTTCTGTTTGGCGATAAGATGGTTAGAAGATAGCTTTTGTGGTGAAAAAAATTAGGATTTAAGCTCCTATGGTGAAATCTGTTAGGATTTAAGCACAAAATTGAAAATTTCAGAACTCTCCGTTAATTGTTAGCACATAAGTCTCACATGCTAATAAATAATAGAAAGTTCACGAAATTTTCAATTTTGTGCTTAAATCCTAACAGACTTCCCCACAGTAGCTTAAATCCTAGTTTTTTTCACAAGAGTTATTTTCTAAATATCCTATCACCACAGGAACTAATAATCCAATTAAGCTTTTTTTCTTTTTTTCTTTTTTTTTTTTATTTTTTTATTAAGAAAACATGGGATAATATTAGATAAAGGTTTATGTGGCACAGCTTCTCTTCAATCATATGTGAATGAGGATTTTGGGTTTCCATCCATTTGTTCAAATTTGAACTCCTTCTTTAAAAAAAAAATCAAAATTAATGTAATAGTATTGAACTCTCTTCCTTTCCCTTAATGATAATAAATTAAAATATAAAAAAATTACAAACAATGTTCGTATATCATTTTTTCCTTCCAAAAGTCATTCTTTAAGCAAACAAAGAAGGTACAACAAGAAATAAAAGCGGAAAGGCACAAACGCCCTATCTCCAGAGAAATTTTTCTTTATGATTAGAACAAGAGTGGCATACCATGTGTTTTTATGGGGTGAAGTACCGATTTAGTCCCTAAATTATCATCTCAGTGAAAATTAGGTCCCTGAATTATTTTTTGGGTAAAATAAGTCCCTAAATTCATTAAAAATTGCTAATTGCATCCATACTATTATATTCAGAGCTATTTTATCCAATTTTTCATTAACTGAAGTCACTTTACACACTTTAGAGTGTAATACCGTTATTTTCTCGCCTATAAGCCCTTAACATTTCATATAGTTGCGAATCTAACATCTAATTTACTCTCCAACGTTAACTTACACTATTTCTTATGAAGAACTATCAATTGATTACCCTCCAAAATTAACTTCATACACTATTTCTATATGAAAAATTACCAATCTACCATTCATTGTGTACTACATGCAAGTAACGTGACTTAAATTAACAAAAAATTGAATATAGTAGCTTTGAATATAATATTAGCGATGTAATTGGTAGATTTTTATAATTCAATGATTGATTTTTCTGAAAAAAAAAGTTTAGGGACCTAATTTTCACTGAGGTGATAATTCAGGGACTAAATTAGCAGTTCACCTGTTTTTATATAAGAGCACTTCCATCGGGGGTGGGATAGGCCGGCACACAGCTAAAAAAATTGCCTGGCACCTAGGGAAGTCTATCTAGCCCACATGATAGCTTGGCACCTAGCCCAAGCTGGTTTCTAGGCCAGCCCAAAATTGATAGACCTTGGGACCGGCCCGTATGACGCCATGCTGACGTCAGGGATGAAAGGAGCCACGGAGGGAGAAGGCAAATGGCCTAAAAGTGATGGCCCGAGTTCGTCAAAAAATCTGAAAAAAAATGCACTGACAACATGTTTACATCAACACAAAGGTTTCCAACATGATTTATATGTTAGAAACCATAAGAATAGGATTGAGAACTTACCCAGGTGAAATGCAAGAGATTTCACCGAGATTGGACCTTGAACTCGTCGAAGTTGTCTGTTTTCCTTTGTCGGAATCACATGCAAGGAATTAAGCCCTCGAATTAACCACACAAAATTGCAACACAACATGATTTAAAGTTCAATAACACAATACAGTGATAGAAACATCACTTGGGTTAGAGATTGAGAGCTTAAGCTCTCGGCTTCAATGGTAGGACCTCGCACCATGCACCGATGCCGTATGCAAGGCCATGGTTGGGTTCCTTGAGCTCCAGGGATTACAAAAATAATATTTTGTGTTTGATTTGTTGCAGGTTTTGAAGAGGAATGAGAAGGAGAGCTCACGGGAGTAAGCTGGAAAAGAGAGAGAGGGAGAAAAAATAGATAGAGAGAGGAAGAGAGAAAGAGAACCGGTTGGGGATGTAGAGGGAGAGTATAGAGGGTTCTAGCGGAACCGTGGAGGTTCTTGACTTATCTTTTTTTTAGTAAAATTATTATTTATATTATTTTGTAATAAAAAATGATATTTTAATAAAATTGATTAGGCTATTTTTTGTTAGGGGTGGAGATGCATTTGGTCTATTACTTTTCATTGGGGTCTAACACTGTTCACTGAGTGGATAAATGCGCTGGGTGCTGGCACATTTGTGTTAGGGGTGGAAGTGCTCTAAGTGGTGAGAAATTTTATTTTTGAAGTTATTAACTTTTTAATACGCTTATCCTATCATTTGTATAGTAACACGTGATGTACCATACAGTGTACCGGTCACTAAAAAATCTTTCAACAATTAGTGGCGTATTTTTCAAGAATACGACAGAGGACTTTTGTTGGTTAATTGCTTGTCTCGAGGCTTTGCAGTAAGTGTTGAGGATGCTTAGCAACTACCGACACTTATCAGGATCAACATTGATGAAAAACAAGGAATTGTCCGCAAACAGTATGTGAGACAGAGTTGAGCATGAGTGCCCCAGGAGAATCCCTGACAAAACCCCCTGTCAAAATGGCAGGCGATCAGAGATGAAAGAGCTTCAGTGACAAACAAGAAAATATATAAATATATATTCGATTATATTTGATCTAAGTCGTTAGATTCAATAAATATATAAATATAAAAAAAAATTGAATGTGGACCGTTGGATTAACCAACGGTCCAATTCAACTGGTTGTTGGGCTACAGTAATGCTGACAGTAGAAAGGGGCAACCCACGTGGGCGGGCCTTCGGCTGGAAAGTTTGTAGCGCGTGAGTCACGTTGGGGAGACTGAGTTTTGGGGTGTGGGCTTCACAACCTATTTTTCACTCTTATCCATGGTTCCCACTTCAATTTTTGCCTTTATTTTAGATTTTATGTTTGGTTTAGGTTTTGGGTTGGAGTGGATATTTTTTTGTTGGAGTGGGTCTAAGGGGAGAGGGGGTCTCCCTGGTGAATTCCCTGATAAGGTTTAAACTTTCCCCACATTTGCCATTGAAAGAGTTAAAAAAAAGACATAGTTTGAGCACACGCCATAATTAAGAAGATCCAGTGAGAATTGAACCCCAGCTGGGTTAAAACAGCTTCCAAGAAACCCCGTTTAACACGATCGTAAGCCTTATTCATATCCGCCTTCAAACCTAACTCAAAACCATGCTTTGAATTCTTATGTTTTAGCTAGTGGAAAACTTCATGAGGTATAAAGATATTGTCTGGGATTTGATGACCCAGGACAAAATCACATTGGTGATGGGAGACCAGGCTTGGTAGATGGTCCTTCAGTTTATTGACCAGAAGCTTTGATAAGATCTGGTTAAAGAAGTTGCACAAGCTAATAGGACGAAATTGTGAGATATTTTTCGGGTTCGGAACTTTTGGAATGAGGACCAGGTTTGCATGGTTCATGGTTCGAGAGAGGAGACACTAGGAGGAAAATTTAGATACCGCACCAAAAATAATCCCGTTCACCGTTTCCCAGCAGGTTTAGTAGAAGCTACCATGAAAACTATCAGGCCCTGCAGCTTTGAGACACCCCCTATCTGGAAAATATCATTTTTATGTCATCTAACTCGAAGGGCCTCAGAAGATCATTATTAATAGAGAGAGATACAACCTGATTTAGGCCAGAAAATGCTTCATGAAGTTCACGGGGACCCTCAGTGGAAAACAACCCTTTAAAATATAAGTCGATATACTCCCTAACTTTCGGCTTCCTCTTCAAGCCAAATAATGTTCTCAGTCTTGAGCCTAAGGATCTGATTGCGTTGTGTTGTATTGTGGTTTGGTGGAAGAAGTATTTCTATCTCCATTCCATAACCACGATATATGAGAACGTTGCGGCCAATATAACTCTTCATTTCTCCAGGCCTCTACTAATTTCTCAGTTGAAAGACGGGTCACATTCTGTTTAATGGTGGGGTTAGGTTGATTATCATTCTCTTGAATTGTTATGAGAAGCCTAATAATTGTGGTTCGATTGTTGGAGAATTTTTTGCTCCAAGACGATATGCGGGTGCTACAGGTTGTAAGAATTCGAGACCAAGACGAAATATAAGAACCATCCTTATTATCATTCCATACTTCTTTAACTACATTAGGAAATTCCGGATCCTTGATCCAGAAAGCTTCTAAATAGAAAGTTCTATGGCCATTACAAACATAAGGGGAAGAGTTTAATATCAACGATCTATGATCTGAGTTAATGAGAGGTCCGTGCGTGATAACGGTGGATGGCCATTTCTTCATCCAAGTAAGTATGAACTATTAAGGGGGGTGTAGTCAAACTTAGGGGTGGTTCGGTATGGGATCCCATACCGAAACCATTGTCCCGATTCCCAAACCGAAATTTTTGGGAATCCCAAATTCAATCCCAATCCCAAACCAAATTTTCGAGAATCCCGAAATGTTTTTGGGCTTTTGGACTAAAATTTGACATATTATGTTTTTGGGCTAAAATTTGACATATTATAAAGTAATAAATAAAGTAACAAACTCAAAAGCAAAAATAGTAGTTACAAGCCAAGGTTTATAAATAAAGTAACAAACCCAAAATCAAAAAAATTAGTTATGAGCCAAAGTTTCAATAATTAAGTTACAAACCAAAAGCTAAAAAGCAAAGCTTAAAGTCTATAAATATTGTTGGCCTCTTCGGCCCCTTCGGCCCCTTGATCTTGTTGATGCTTGTGGTTGGTCCCTTCTTGTTGGTAATTGTACTCTTCCCCTTGATGTTGATGGTTGAGCCCTTCCCCTTGCAATGGGTGGTCGTGGAGGTAGTGATTGATTTTGACGTTGTTGAACTTCAACTTGGAGTGGTCGAGGAGGTGGAGGTGGCATTTCATTTTCTTGTGTTGTATTCTCCTCACCTCCCAAATTAGCCGTGCCTAAAACAATAAACCACAAATCATTTACATTGAATTATAGTCTAATAGATAATAAATACTAAGAAATTAAAAGAGGAAATTAAATTGTTTACTTACTTCTTTCTAAGCGTTCAAGCTCCTTGTAGAAATGGAATTCGTCAAGTGTAGGCTCCTTGTAGAAACAAAATTCTTTTCCTCTAAGCCAATCACTAGTACACACTAAAGCCTCAACCGTTTTAGGTGTTAAGGAAGTTCTAAAAGGATCAACAACTCTCCCACCAAGACTAAAGGCATTCTCACTAGTAACGGTGCTACTAGGAAGGGCCAAAACATCCTTAGCAACTTTACTAAGAGTTGGATATTGAGCACAATTTCTTTTCCACCAATCCAAAAGATTGAAACCCTCATATGTTAGGCTTTGATGTGGATCATTGAAGTACATATCCACTTCATTGGCTATCTCATTTTGTTGTGCCTCCGCTCTCTTTCGTTGGATCTTCTTTGTCATCCTTGAAGCAACATCAATATCTACAATCACACCCCCCACATCATCTAGTACAATACTTGATCTTTGCTCCACATTTGAGGTAGCACTACTACTAGTACTACTACTACTAAGGACCACTCCCTCCTTGTATGCATTATACAACTCGGTTACATAGCCTTTAACCCTTACTTTCTCCTCCCTTATTTTGTCCCATCCATAGCCGAGCTTTTCTAGATTTGTCTCCAACATATCAAATTTGTACCTAGGGTCAAGTACTTGGGCTACAAAGAGAATAGGATTCACCTTTTCAATGTGACCCCAATATTTGTCAAACTTGAGCTTCATTGAGGTAGCCACACTTTGCAAAGTGGCATTAGAGGCGTTTAAAATTTGTTCTTGTATCTCCACTTGCAAGGCAATCACTGTGCTAAGTATTAAGTGTGACGTTGGAGTAAGGGTTGCACTCAATGTCAAGGTGGCATCATAAAACTTTTTAAGAAAGTGAGCAAAACTCATCGATCTTTCCCAATCATCCACCTCCGGAGGACCCACCCGCTTGGTCTTTGTTGTCACCCCATCAACCTCTTTCGAGACCTCCTCTTTAAAGTAAGCAATAAAAGAGTCACACTCAAAGGCCATCTTAGAGAACACTTCTTTAAACTTGAAAGCACTATTAAGCATCTCATATGTGGCATTCCACCTTGTGACAACATCAAAAGGGATACTTGACATCCTATCAAATCTCAACAAGACACAATATTCCCTAAAAGACTCCAACCTTGCCGGGGATGAGTGTATAAACTTCACACAATTTCTTATGGCATCAATTTCACAACTAAGCTCCGTCATTCCATCCTTAACTATCAAATTGAGGATGTGACAAGCGCACCTCATGTGCAAGTGAGCCCCGTCAAGTAAAAGAGTACCATTTGACTTGAGTCTTCTTTTCATGTATGCAATTGCGGTGTCATTTGCACTAGCATTGTCAACGGTAATGCTAAACACCTTGTCAATGCCCCAATCATTCAAGCAAACCTCTAGACATCTTCCAATATCATCACCCTTATGAGAAGTAACTTGTACAAAGTTTAGGATCCTCTTATGCAACCCCCAATTAGTGTCCAAAAAATGGGCCGTGATGACCATGTAATTTATCATTTGAATTGAGGTCCAAGTGTCGGTTGTAATACTCACTCTCAACCCCTCAATCACACTTTTTATTTTAGCCTTCTCTTCAACATACAACTCCAAAACCGCCGCCGCCACCTTATGCCTATTAGGAAGTTTGTATTTTGGATTCAAATCACGAATAAAATCTCGAAAGTCTTGTTGATCAACCACCCTAAAAGGCATCTCCGCTATTATAATCCACCTCACACATCTTCTATCAAGTCTTTTTTGATTGAAAGTGTGAGTGACAACCGGACCTCCCATCCTCGCTTGTGTCAATGTAGGTTGCTTCGGATCCACATTCTCAAAGAGACTAGAACCCGGGCATTTCCTCAAATGCTTAAGAATTCCCGTCGTCCCATGAATTATAGGGTGTGCCGGTACTAAGAGTTTGCAATGCTTGCATTTGGCCATGAAAGATTTCTCCCCATTATTATCG